TGGTTTCGAGATCACATCGCGCTGCGATAAGACCGGCGCTCGTGAAAAGAGAAAAACGTTATCTAGTTTGGCGCATTGCAGTTTTGAGATCGGTTCCCGCATGCAATCATGGACCGGCGATCGTTCAAGAAGAAACGCAAGACTGCGCAGCGATTTGGTGCTCGTAAGCCGAAGCCGCCGATCGTGAAAAAGAAATTCAGTCCGGCAACTTCTGCGAGCAGCGACGACGGCGTGCGGCACGACGAGGACTAGCAGCCGAGCACAAGCACGCACGGAGCATCGTCCGCGAGCATCGACGAGACTGTTCATATGCCTGTGGAGCAGTGCTTTGTGCTGTCTGAGGAAACATCCGTTCGTCGTTCCGCGCAGGCTGCAGACATCGCGGGTGCTAAGCCTAGCACTTCGCACGAGGATGTATTCATCGCGGATGCCCAGCCAAGCACTTCGCGCGAGGATGTAGACGCCGCGGATGCTCAGCCTAGCACTTCGCGCGAGGATGTAGACATCGCCGATGCTCAGCCAAGTACTTTGCGCGAGGATGCGAGGCCGTCTACCAGCACCACCAGTAGCACGATTCGGGCTCGATTAGAGCCTCGTTTCGTGTCAGCGGAGGCATCTCACGAACGCGCCGCGGCTGTTCAGGAGTCCCTAAGAGCAGTGTCTGCGATGGAGCACAAGATGTCACTGATGGACCAAGGGGACGAGAGCGACATCGAAACGGAAGACGAAGATGAGTTTTTCCTCGTGTAACGCGCGGCCCTGAATGGTCTGTTTGGCAGTGCCCTGTGCCCGCAGTGCAAAGAGCCGGGACTCAAGATGAAGCACGGAACTAAGCACGGGTTAGAGGTAAAGATGGTGCTAACTTGCACTGCTTGCGACGCGGACGCGAAAAATGTGTGGTCGTCGCCGCGAATGGAAAACAGCAAGTCATTTGAAGTAAATATTCGGGCCATGCAAGCTATAAAAACTATTGGAAAGGGATCAGCTGCACTCAGTGATTTTTGGTCTGTGATGAATGTATCACATAGGGGAATTCACCACAAGACTTTTCAAAGGCATCTCAAGCGGGAATTTCAGGCCTGCTGGCGCAGCAGCCGCGGCACGTGTGTTTTGCGACGCTGTTGCAGCCGTTGTACAGCCAAATGGAAGGGAACAATGTGTACAGCCAAATGGAGGGAACATCCCACCAAGAATGTCCCGGTGGTGTACGACGGGACGTGGATGACACGCGACCACGCGTCCCACATCGGCGTGGGCACGGTCATTGAATTCTACACCGTATTAGTGCTTGACAGTGTTGTCCTGTCCAATTACCGTCATGGACCGAGACTACCTATTAGCGAAGTGAGCAGCTGTCATGACCAATGCCGTTTCTTCAGCGGGAACATGTGAGCTCGCGTCGTACAGCCACAGCTCTCTCCACGTGGATGTTCTCTCTCTCCGACTTCGCCAGTCGCTGCCGCCGCCATCGCCGAGGAGACGAGTTCTTTCTCTGCGCTGAGCCTGCGATCGCACGTCTTCTATTCCATGCGCTTTGTTTGCTTCGCTTCTCTCGTTGAAAATGGCCAGCAAGCCAACTGTACAACGAAAGCCAATCGAGCTTTCAAGGAAAGCAGAAATTTTGTCCGAAGTGAGAGCTGGCAAGCTCACGAAGACCGAGATTGCAAGTTCAGGATTGCGAAGAGCACGCTAACGGGCATCGTGAAAGATAGTGCGCGGGTAACCGCTGCATTGAGCGATGGAGACTTAGCGCCGAAGCGAAAGAAGATAGATGCGGACGGCTGCGCACAAGGGCTTGGAGGATGTTCTGCTCGCATGGATCCAACGTGCTCGTAGCGTGAATGTGCCTGTGAATGGCGTAGTTCTGAAGGCAAAAGCAGAGGAAATTGCCCTACGAATGAACATCGAGCTTGTCTGCAGCGACGGATGGCTCGTTCGCTTCAGAAAAAGACACGGACTTGTGTTCCGATCTATTGCCGTCGCCGTTGATGAAGTGACCTGCAACAGACGTCCAATTATGGACTGGATCAAGCCGAGCAAGAGTACTTGAACGCAGTTGCCTATCAGGTTACTCCCTCAAATAAATTATTTTTGTGTCTTTTTCATTCACTGTAAGTGTACTTGATACTTTGTTTTGAACTAAGATATTTGCATGCACCTAGGTATGTAGCCAATTATTTTTTCGAGGCTGCTTTTGATAAGACGAATATCTGATAAGACGAACAATTCTTCATGGTCCCTTCGAGTTCGTCTTAAAGGGAGTTCACTGTAGTTCTTTTTTGAAGCAGCTTCCAGCAGTGTTGTAGCTCTGTAGTCGAACAGCTGCATGCCATGAAGATCGCTTGGGTACGTTCATATTTGTAACAAGAACGTGCCTAGAACCGAAGATATTTGCATCTTTCTCACGTTCGCAGCCACGTAAAACGCAGATTTTTCCTTTGCAACCAACAATACTCGACATCGGCCTTCCTGAAAATCAAGCTCTTTAACGCTATTGAGCTAAATGTTGGAGCCGACGAGGACTCACTGAAACATGCAGTGCGACGCGAAGCGCGAACAGTGAATCGGTGCAGAGTGGCCTTAAACAAGAGGGCGACCCCCCCCTCCTCCGCTGTGCCGTGCCCAATTTTGTGACTTTTTCAGGGCGCCCGAGCGAGCGCAGTTTCCCCTCCTGAAGAATTCTTTGCTCCGTAGGATTCAAGTAAAACGTTGTCTGACGCCGAACGAGTTGAAATATTCAACTCTGTTTTTGCCGTCGTTTTCACATCCAAACTAGATGCACCTCTTTCCTTACCACCAAGTACAATAATTTCTTCTATGTCCAACCATACTTTCAGCGCATATGAAATTTCATGCATAATCAATAACCTCAACTTTTGTCATCAGCGGGAATAGACGAAATAAATACGAAGGTGTTGAAATACACCAATCATGAAGTTTCGTGCTATTATCATTATTTTTGCACAATCACCTTCTACATCAGCTATCCCAGGTGACCGGAAAATTGGCAAGATTGTTCTAGTCTACGAATCCGGCATTAAAACTCTCCATTAAATTATCGTCCCATCTTCCTAATCAGCATTCCCTGTAAAATCATGAAACAGTTCATTTACTCCCACATCGTGTATTTCCTCGATACTAAAAAAGTTCTTTCACTCTTCACAGCACGGCTTTCAAAAGGGCCTCTCACGTAGTACACTCTGGCAACATTCTTGCAAGATATACATCTTAACCTAGACATGAACATACAAACTGACACAATTTTCCTGGACTATGCTAAAGCCTTCGACAAGGTACCTCAACAAGCGACTGCTACTTAAATGTTTCCAGTCTTAACATACAACCTGCTGTCATCAAATGGATAACAAAATTTCTTAACAATCGTCCACAATCTGTCACTGTAAATACCAACCTCTCAAGCCCTGTGTCTGTAACATCAGGCGTCCCTCAAGGTTTCCCCCCTTGAACCACTTTTATTCCTCATATCTATCAATGAACTTTTACTGCATGTTACTAAAAATATTAAAATGTTTGCAGATGATTTTGTTATTTATCGCAGTGTACGAACGATAACCGATCAAAAGCTCTACAGGAAGACCTATACAGCGTATTAAAATGGTGTGACACCTGGCTAATGTCTCTTATGCAAAACAATGAAAATAATGTCATTTTCTCAAAGCCTGAAGCCCCTGGTATTTCTTTACAAAATAGGCACCATACCACTCAACCTAGTATCATTATATATATACCTGGGTGTCACTGTATGCAGTGACTTATCCTGGCGCACCCATGTCACCAATATCATATCAGCCTCTAACAAAACATTAGGTTTTTTAGAACATAACCTCCGCTATACTTCACTGCACGTAAAACTAATCGCTTATCAAATGCTCATTTGGCCAAAGCTCGAATGCGAGTGTTTGTCTGGCATCCACATCAGGCATATTTCACCGAAGCATTGAAGGCGATTCAAAATCGGGCGGCCAGATTTATTCATTCGGCGTATTCCTGTGACATCAGTGCCACATCACTAAAAATGCAAAGTGGTCTTTCACCTCTCATCCATCGTCACCGCCTCGCCAGCCCATCGCTCTACCACAAATTCTTTTTCAGCTCTCTTCATCAACCACCTTACATTTCACCTGCAGCACACACATCTAGCCGCCTAGGTCCCTCGCACCAAGTCTCACATCCGCGTGCACAAACCACAACTTTTTTATCCTCGTTCTTTTTTGGAACTGCCTCAGAATGGAACGGCCTTCCCGAGAAAATTGTTGCTACCCAATGCCCGTTTCTGTTTATAAAACGTTTGACAGAATATATTGAAACTAACAGTGTGTAATAAAGGTTTCAGTGGTGTACTAACAACACTTTAGAATAACAAACTTATTGCATAGTATAAACTTTTGTAAAGAATATTTTTGTATTTTCATGTAACCACCCCTTATGCAATACCCCCTTGAGAGTCTTTAAGGTATTAAACTGAACTAAACTGAACAATTATGAAACACCAACCCACCAGCATTTTATAAACCTAGCCAAAAAAAAGAACCCATTCCTGTGGCTATCTCATAAGAATGTGCTTAAAGAACCTCTCCAACTTTCTATCCCCGCAATTTCACTTCAAAGTATTAGAAAAATATTCGATTCGATTCGCAATCACATTTTGATATTCAAATTCACATCGCAGCCAATAATTTGCTAGCTAGCTGTGCGAGTAAGAAGTCAGAAATTTGGAATGCTAATATTAGGGGGGGGGGGGGGGGGGGGAGAAACGCCTCATGTTATACATAGGTTTTACGGCGAATCCTACATGATAATATCGATGTGAATGGTGCCTTATGTTTCAAACCTAATAGATGACACACTTTACATAAAGTGCATAAATCGATCTGACAGTGACCAAAAAGACCTACTGGTACAGGTTCAATGGTTTCGTAAGTTATCTAAAGCATTTTCGGGCTGCCTTAACCTGATGAGAGCGGCATGAGTGAACCCACCAGTGGGAGTGGGCGGAACAGTCTTGTAGAGACTTGAGATCCTCTCTTCCACGCAGTTCGCCGACAGCCGAGCCTCGGCATCGTGGTCCCAGCACTCCTCTATCGTGTCAATGATTACTGCCAAGCCCTGGGGAATGTAAAAACAGGAGCATCAAAACACCGAACGCTTAAACCCGCCACTTTGCAAAGGTCTCAAAAGAATAGCCAAAGTTGCACTTGCGTCCGGGTAGTACTTTTCATAGTAGTTCGATTATTATAGCATTTTATGTGTAATTCAAAGGTTGTGGGTTCTCGACCCACCGACCAAAAGGGTAATTTTTTGTTCATTTCATTTCAGCTTATGCCGCAATTAGTACACCACAGTTGCAGACAACAATTAATGTCCTCTCTGCTTGCCCTAACCTTCTTGTCTGTTCGATTTATTTGGTTGTGTCTAACGTATAAACGAGCTTCTTTTAAAGCTAGGGTGCAAATTGTGTCTTGGAGCAGGCTTCGAATTTTGAAATTTCATTTCAAAACAAGTAGGTAGCGCATTAAACTATTTTGCTTTAAAATTAACAAGACCTTCGAAATGCCGATGAAATGCATCAGACCGTAGTTTTGAAGATAGTACTATCGTGAGCTATATGAGCTCGAACAAGCGAGCGCGTGGCAAATTGCCTCAAAATCGAGATAATGGTGTATGTGGATGGTGCTGCCGAAACCGGATCGGAAAGGGGGGACGCTTTTCCTTGGTCTGTTGGCACTCCCACTTCGCTAGTGCTGACGGCGAACTGCAAACGATCGCATGCAATCTCCGGCTGGCGATGATAACGGGGAGAAAAATGCACGAAAAACAAAGTAAAAGAGAAATAAAAGTATAAAAATGCGCAGCCAACACCACCTACATATAATACAAGCATGGCATCACAGCAGCCTAGGTCACTGCCGATATCTCAGCAGCTACATAGCCTGATGGGTGATCGGGTGTGGCTGTGCATGTTATGAGAGTTCACATCACCGCTGGCACCCACTAGCGCGCTATAAGCTGCCGGTTTGCAGCAATGATACCGAGGCGGGAGTGTCAACAGATACCAGAAGCGCGGTGCACTGTCCACTTTGTTTCGGAGAACGGTCGTGGTGAATCAGCCAATGTAGGGTGCGAGGCTATTCGCCACGCGCTCACGTGTTCGAATTCATATTGCTCACGGTAGTACCTAATCCTACATGGTAACACTTATCTTTGCAATATGCAAGTCTACCTTTGCAACAATGCAAAGCCCCAGCGCATAAGTGCCTCAATGTTGCACCTCGCACAGTTACACATTTTACAGCTCAGCCATGCTGCTAAACAAGCACTCTTGAACAAGCTTTTGCAGGATTGAAACCTAAAACGGTGGCGAGAAAAGCAGTGAGTCACTGAGCTAATATCTGGCATGGTGTGGAAGGACAAGTCAGCAACATTCTAGTGGAGAAGGAAAGCGACGAGCACAACTGATAAGCGATAAGCCCAAAGCAACAAGTGATCAAGTTACAAAGAGGCAGACCATAACTCCGTCGCCTGTCTATCTGTCGCTACTGATGTGCGGTCGTTTACTCAACATTAACAGCGGAACAATTTTTTTCCCACCCTCTCTTTAAGTACCTCACGAGAGAAAATGAATAAAGGATAATGCCCAAACAAGCTCATCACACATTTAAACCACTGCACATTTCAAGTAACTTTCAATCAAAATACGACCGACTAAATGAAAATAAAAACGTGTCCAACGAATGGACACTTAATAACTAGTGCACCTAATAAGCCCACTAGCGAAATATTCACAGCTGCTCGTGTTTTCAGCGTAGGGAGCTCGGTAATGTCTCTTTGATTGCTTTTATGATAGCTTTCGATCATCAATTTCGGCTTTGACAGCTGAAGTGGACATTAACTATTCCCTGTCGGGGCACCATTTTTACTCCACAACCAATGCCTTTTCTGGCATCTTCCTATGACACAACAATTGTTATCAATTTTGTATGTACCTTTCCTCGCTTCATTCTGTGGTGCGCTGGGTACACAATTGTGTACACCACTTATCCTTCCGCTATTTGCATGTACTAGGGTCTAAGACAGAGCACATTACACAAAGCTTTGGATGGATTGAGCCTTCTGCACAATAAATTTGTCCTCACTTCATTTTGCCATGTACTGTTGCATATGACCACTTTTCTCAAGGCACTGCCATGTTTGACATAAGCATATGCATATTTTCCAAAATTATAATAAAAAGTGGGGACCCTTAAGCTTCGCCTTTAACTTAAACGCGATAGTGAAATCCGGCCTCTAGTGGGCCCTTCAACCGCTAAGTGCACACTTATTAATATGTTTTCTAACATACACACACACGCACACATGCACACAGTAGATTGTACCAGCACGCGAGCATGCGCGAATGGTACAAGCAGGTTTTTGATCTAAAGCAAAAGTCGCATGGCCTCCAGGAGGCCATAGTCTGCCAATGCCTTACAGATGGCAGCACATTATCTAGCGTTTGCTGTTTGCTTGATCAACACCTCTGGAAAGGCATGATATGTTTTCCGCTAGATGGACATAGTTATACATTTTTAGAGCTGTTTGAAAGTTCCTGAGCGTCTTTAGCGGCGATGGCTGCACTATACCGGCCCTTTTCGACGTTGTTTGAGGCCTCCTAAATACGCCTACAAATCGCCAAATGGGCTTTCGTCGTGACACCTGTCGAACGAAACGCATTAAAGAGGCCCTGAAACACTTTTTCAAGTGACTATGAAATTAATTCACTATAAGAGCTTATTGCCTCCAAATTCAACGGCGCAAAGATTTTAAGAATCCGTCCAGTGCAAATGGAGTTTCAAAGGTTTCTTGTATGCTGCAATTGCATTACCTCTTCCCTCATCCTGACGAAAGCACTGGAAGCTAAGCAGGGAGGGGTGGCAGGGGCAAAGAAACTACCGTGCCTCGTGACCTTGAGCACTTTTTTTTTTCTTCTAATGCGCGGCTTCTTCAGTGTGATCGCATGCGCACGCATGGACAAGTAGTGGCCTCCCGCAGCGATCTCTGTAACTTTCTTTTTCGCCCACGGACGATTTTTCACTCACAACCAACGGGGCTGACCCCGACGGCAGGATTTATGAGACACGAGCTCTCTAACGCTACCGCGTTAAAGTGGGAGCAAGCCACATGACAATCACTGTGTGAGAAAAAGACGCATAAAAGCGAGCAACCATTCCTTATTTCTTAATCAAATGTTGACACCTGCTAGTGCAAGGAGGGGAAGCTGGGCCGCTAAACTCAATCAGATAGAGCCAGCCATTAGGCAATCGTAACGATACACTGAGGCAAGAGAAATAAGTTTAGCACACTGCTACACCAGCCGAATTCACTGCAAAACTACTACAGTCAAACCCCTTTATAAGAGACACCGATGTAAAAGACAAATGGGCATAAGAGACACCAGTGTGTTTGCAGTGAAACAGGTGATGCATGCGTGGCACCCCCAGCTGGTAAAAGGCCTCTTTTACAACAGACAAGAATAAAGGGCTTCAGCGGTACCACAAAAGCTCTTCTCGAGAAAGCTCTGCCCTTTAAAAGGAGGACTGACCGGATGCTTCCTCCAGTGGTCGCGGATGCGTGGTCGCATCTTCTTGTGTGCCACGGCTTCCTGCATGTCTTCCAGGGACGGGTGCTGGCCAACTTCCTCCTCAAATGGGAGCATGTACTCCTCCACAGGACCTGCACACATACACACACACACACTATCGCACGCTGTAGCTACATATGAAGGAAAGAAGTGTAAGTTTGAGAGCTCGTTTTTCTTTGTTAGACACAATTTTAATGAGAACTAACAAAGATGCCAAGGAAAGTAGAGGGGATATTATTAGAAGTAATTGTAATGCAATTGGAAAGAATGAAAAGTGGACGAAAATATAACTTGCCGTGGGCAGGGACCAGACCTGCCACCTTCGAATAATGCGCTCGATGCTCTATTTGCAAGCACTGTGCAGCAAACCAGATCAACGCGAAGGAACAACACTGCCTTTACTTCAACTGCGTGCGAAAACTGTTCCGAACTTGTTAGAATGCGGCAGAAAAGTGATCTATTTTCTTTCAGAGAAACGTACTTCCTGGACTTCGGCGCAGCGCAGCGTTTCATATACGTGTGCAGCAGTCCCACACTTTTGCAAGGTAAATTCAAGGGTATTTCTCAACTGTTCAATATAGTCAATAATTCGATATACACGAGTTTGATATAATATTTGGGATAACTGTATTCAAGAAATGTTCATGGCTACACGCCTCAATTAACCTTTTGAGGGTCAGAGACCACGGTCACGAATGTACCGGATTTACTCGTGTAATCCTCACTCGCACTCGCATGATTCGTGCACCTCCCAGATTGCTTAAGAAAAATACGAGTTTTTTTTTTTCCTCGAGTAATTATCGCACTCTCGAAAATTGCTGCGAGCATGTCGTCCACTTCTAACCACCGATGATGATAGCGCCCGACAGAGCGACAGCCTAGCCCACATTGTGCGAACTTCTATTGCGCAGAGTCCTAATCTAATCCAAGCCAAGCCACAAGTAGAAAGTACGCATTTTGACCGGCCATGGCGGCGTGTTAGTGCTAGTCCGTGCAGTGTGTGTGTTACGTCGTTCTGTGATTACGCTATGGTTCGGTACACAAGCTACATACACGGCGGCCTTCAAGTTGAAGGTGATTGATCATGTATTACTATACGGCAACAGGGCCGCTGGCAGGCACTTTGGAGTTTATGAGTTTTGTGTCCGGTACTAGCGATGGCAGCATCCACACAGCTGAAGGCCACCAACAAGACACGCTGGCTTTTCCAAGGGCCTAAGACCGGAAAATATTTGCAGGTGGAGGTAGCACTACTCGACTACGTCAAGGGTCTCCCCGAGGATGGGTGTGCCGTATCCATCGAATTAATGAATAACCAGGCACATATAATTGCCAGGGGGAAGGGCGGTCCGGCATGAGATTTCCGTGCGAGCAATGAATGGGCCAAATGCTTTATGCGCTGAAGTGTACTGTCACTCAGAAGACGGACGACTTTGTATTAGCAGCTACCCTCGGCATGTGAAGACAAGATTGTAGATTTTCATCGATTTGTGATACGGATCCGGCCAAAAAAGAACTTTTTGCTCTCGCAAATTGCGAATGCAGATCAAATGCCACTCAATTTCGACATGCCGCACAGCACAACAGTCAAACAAAAAGGTGTGCGGGGCGTGCACATCATCAGGACAACAGGTGCAGAAAAGCAGCGGTGCCCAGTCATGCTCGCTGTTACAGCGGACGGGCGGAAGCTGCCGCCTTCTGTAATTTTTCAAAGAAAGACCCTCCTGAAGGCAAAGTTCCTGTTGGCCTTCACGTATGGGTGCAGAAGGAGTGGACGACCGCTGATTTCATGGTCGACTGGGTTAAAATGAAAACTGTTTGGGGACGCCGCCCAGGCGCACTTCTGTACCAGTCGCTGCTGGTCGTCGACAGTTTCCGCGGTCATCTCACCGACTCCGTTCAGACGAAGCTGAAGGAGCTGCGGACTGATCTGGCCCTCATTCCTGGCGGCCTGGCATCAATGCTTCAGCCTCTGCCCCTTTCCTAGAACAAACCGTTCAAGGACAATGTTCGGAGGCTGTATGCAGAATGGATCGCTGAAGGACACCATTCCATGACTCCCGCAGGCGAAATAAGTAAGCCGTCAGTGGAGCTCCTTTGCACATGAATCACCGAGGCATGGTCCATGACTTTCCTAAATATCATAGTCCGCAGTTTCGAAACAACTGGAATTTCCAATCGCTTGAAGGGAACGGAAGATAACATAGTGCACGAAAGTGGGGATAGAGACTACATGTCGAAGCTGGCAGCGACTGTGATGGGGCCGCATCAGCGACTCCAGTTTTGACTCCCTGACTCTGAGTAGTTCAGCCGAGAGACCTTGCGGCCAAGACACTTTATTTGCTAGTAGATTTTGCTAGTAGATTTAGTGCTACAAGTAAATCTTGCTTTGTGTTAAACTCGTGGCGTTATTGTTAAGGTAAGTCCCCGATTTGCGGCCGCTCCGTTTTCTTTTCTTGTAGTTGCTGCTGTGAGAACCAAGATTTGCGGCCGCTCCGTTTTCTTTCCCATTTTTCTTAGCGCTCTGTATGTTTTTGCGGAAAATTTTCCCCGCATAATTCTCGCGCCCCCAACTTTTCATCGGTTTCTCACGAAAAAAAGTGCAAAAATTATGCTAGTAAATACAGTACATGTACGTCATTACCTATATGTTTAAACTACACAGCTTTTCAATCGTTTCTCTTGCTTGGCATGTGGTGCCACACCGTGGGAATACAGTATAACCTCGTAACAATTGATTTGCTTATAATAGACATTCGGTTACTACATACTAATTTGATGCGTTATGCCAACCTCCCTATTTGTTCCATTGATTGAACTCCATTGATTGAGCTTCGTTTACATATGCTGGTACAACGAACATTCAGAAATAATTGACTAAAATGTGAGTCCAGCAAGGTGGTCAGTGCTCCTTTACAACAGAATTTTCTACCGCTGACATTCCAAATGCAATAACTTCCAACTTAAAACATCCCTTGGCATACTTTCGGGACGGTCCATTGATAGAGCTTCATTTACAACGTATTCTGGTACAACAAACATTCAGATATAATTGACTAAAATATGAGGCCAGCAAGGCGGTCAGGACTTCTTTACAGCAGACTTTTCTACCGCAGACATTCCGAATTCAATAACATACTTTCGGGATGGGAATAGGGCCGCGGATATTGACGTACTGTTTTAAAAACGAAGGCCGCACGTCTCCGGTCTGCTAATGATGAGTTATGCCTAGCTAAGACGATGAAAAATCGGCGCGCAGAGTGCTTAAATTTGCGTGTTGGGGCGCTGACGCACGAAATTGCTGGCCATTGCCACCCCTGTTTCGAGCCCTCAGTGCATGGTGAGCATGGCTGCAGTCCACAACTGATGCGCAAGATTCGTGGTTCTAAGGAGCCATCGGCTGATGTGATTTGTTGCTTGCAATAAAACACATTACAGCTTGTTTGCTTTGGCATATCTGCTAACGCGATGGTCTCGCCCACCAAGTTCGGGGCTGAGTTAGGCCTAGCCACGACTTTGAGCTGAAAGCGCGGCTATGTTACAAAGTACGCCATGCTGAATCACGAGTACAAAGATCTGTCCCGTGATGGTCTTTATTGCCAGGTTCGAAGCGCTGATAAGCAGAACCTTCTCGTGAACAAGTCAACGCTATGACAATTGGTTTGAAATGCGCGTGTGTGATGCGCGTGTGTGACAAGTACGGCGTGCAATCGTAATCTGAAGACTGAAATTCTGCTTGCAGCTGCCTTAAAGCTGCCAACTCTGGTGTTTTTTTTACCATGTCAGGATAATGGTGCTTTTGTGTTGCTCAGACACTCTTGTACTATAGCTGAAATGCTCAACAAATTCAAAAATCCCTTTTAATTAGCGAGAAACCGCAATGCCGAAAATAAAACCCAACCGAGTACGCTTCTACGTGGGACATAACCTGCCTGATTGCACATAATGTCCGCCAGATGGCACTACCTGTCCACGCCGTCCGAGGCGATCGGCAAAAACGCTTATGTTGTTATAGTGAACACATGGCGAATCGTGTGCGGCCTACAACACAACACAATTTGCCACCTATCGCACGCTCACAAACATGGAAAAGGAAATCGCACGCTCAACCAAGGAAGTGCTGACCAAAGTCACACAATCCATATGTCACAGAACGAGCGCTCAAAAAGGGCCCGCCGCCAAATTCACGCGACGAACCGCCGGAGTGACGCCACGAGGTCAACGAAAAAGAAAGAAAAAGAAAACAAACATCTAAAGGCTCCCAGGGCGCGCGAGCCTCTCCTCTCGGAAGCGTGGCTTCGCCGACGAACCTCCTCACCCCACAACGGCGGCCGAGCAAGCACTGGATTTTTCTAGAAGGAAAGCGGCGTGGTCATACCGAGTTGAGTCATCCACCGCGGAGGGCATCCCAACCGTCTCGCCCTCTCCCCAGCCTTCGCTGCGTATCGCGCCGACGAAATGACGAGAACTTTCTGGAATCTCGCGCGGAAGGTATTTAATCGAGCGGCCGAGACGAGAAAGCAGGAGAAGACGGAAGTTAGCGCCAGAGCGCGTAGGGTATCCTGCCGTGTTGTCGGCGAAGGTTTTGTCCGTAGGGACAAAGCAGAAGACGTGAGGTTTCCTGGAAGAGAAACTTCGAAGGAGAAGACGGAAGTTAGCGCCAGAGCGCGTAGGAATTCCGCCGTGTAGTCGGCGAAGGTTTTGTCCGTAGCGACAAAGCAGGAGAAGAAGAGGATTTCCACCTGAGGGGTGAAGGCTCGAGCTACAGGCAAGAGCGTGTGTTTACCGCTATCGAGCGAAGACGCGGGGCAACAGCTGCGTGTGTGAAGCCGACGTGTTTCCGGCAAAGAAGTTGAAGCTTGAAGAGTGGCCAATTGAAGACGCGAGGTTTTTTGGAAGAGAAACTTCAGGGGGCAGCGGAACGACAACAACGCTGGACTTTGAGTGAGTGATTCTCGGAAGAGTATCATTCAGACTTTTGTTCCAAGGACTTTGGACTGAATAGATTTTCTATCTCTTTAGTCTTTAAGTGTCTTGGTTGTTAAATGCATGCGACTGCATTGTAGTGTGAATTGTTGTCTGTGTCCGTTGTTTTGAGTGTGGCTGATTGTACTGTGTAGTACGTTGGTTGATTGGTGACATATTGTACTCAACTATTGTGTAGTGTGCATACTCGTGTATTGTTTTCGATCTGCAATTATTGAGAATATAATTTTGTTTGTTTATCAACTCTCGGCTCTGACTTGTTCTTTGGGCCACAGCCGGCGTCTGCTGGCGCGCCAATAAGGACCACTTCTAAATTGTCCACGCTTTCGTGGTGCGGTTCGGGGGGCCGATACTTCGGCCCTTGGAATTAGCCCGGCGATAGCCTCCCTAAATAACGGGACTTGTGACAATTAATCTGGCGTCCGCGACGAGGACCTTTTGGTGCACAGTGTGCCCAAAGTAGTGAGAAAGAGCCTCGAGCTGTTGATAGTGCTATCGGAACGATTCTGTGTGTTGCTCAGTGTTCTCGTTAACGAGTGCAGGGGAGTGTTCCGATAGACTGATTTAGGCAGATACTTTTTACACGCGGCAAGACTTTGTTTGCGAGACACCATGGATCTCGAAAAGTTAGTTGCTCTTGGTGAGAAGATGGGTCTTTCTGGCGCCGAACTACGGAAATGGGTAAGCCAGAAGGAGAAAGAGGCGGTGGAGAGAGAGAGGCTGGCAGCTGAGAGGGCCAAGGAAGAAAAAGAAGCTGAGTTGGAGAGAGAGAGGTTGGCAGCTGAAAGGGCGAGAGAAGAAAGAGAAGCAAAGGAGCGACAGCTGAAAGAAGAAAGAGAAGCAAAGGAGCGACAGCTGAAAGAAGAAAGAGCAGCAATTGAAGTTGGAGCTGGAGAGAGAAAAGCTGGCCGCCGAAAGGGCGAGAGAAGAAAGCGAGCAGCAATTGAAGTTGGAGCTGGTGAGAGAAAGACTGGCAGCTGAGGGCGAAAGAAGAAAGAAAGGAAAGAGAACGGCAGCGACAGCACGAGATAGAACTCGAGCGGCTCCAATTGCAACAGCGAAGCGAAACTCCTGTCCAAGCTAGAGTCGAAAGCAGCGAACGGGAAGATCATGGCTTCTGCTTGAACCCAAGCAAGCTGCTCGTCGCGTTTGATGAGAGGAAGGACGATTTGAGACGATTGCACGGAGCCAGAATTGGCCGGAACATCAATGGGCAACTGCTTTGAGTACCTGCTTGAGTGGTGAAGCGCTCAGTGTGTATGGCAGGCTGACGCCAACCGATGCAGCCAACTACGCAAAGGTGAAAGCTGCTTTGCTGAAGCGATTTAGATTTACTGTGGAAGAATTCCGGGACAGATTTCGGACAGGAAAACCAGCTGATGGTGAGACGGCTACGCAGTATGCTGCCCGACTTTGCCACTATTTCGACAGATCGATTGAACTTTCAGGGACAGCGCAGGAGTACGATGAGCTTAGAGAGCTCCTAATTAGAGAACAATTTCTTACTAGTTGCCACCCACGCCTGTCGCTGTACTTGAAAGAGAGGAAGGCTGACTCACTTGAAGGCATGCTTGAATTGGCTGATCAATTCTTGGAAGCGCAAGGTGGCACTAATTTGGCCAAGGTCAAGAAGGATTGTCCCGAGGATTCGAAGAAATTGGCTCCCGAAGAAAAGAAGTGTGCACCAGAGAGCATTCCGCGATGTTTTCTGTGTAACCGAGTGGGTCATCGCGCGAAAAACTGTCGAACGATCTTTACGAGCCCTACGGTTGTACAATGTTTCAAGTGTGGTCAGACTGGGCACAAAGCAGACACATGTCGAAACGGAGCGAGTCAAACTCACCAGGTATCCTGTGTGCAAGCGGCACCGAAATCCGGTAATAATGCCGTCACAGATGGATTCGTAGAGTTGAAAAATGGGGAGAAAATTCCTATTGTGGGTGCTGTAATGTCAAAACAGCCAACCGGTGTTGCGAAAAGAATGCCAAGGTTGCGGGCAAGAAGATTACGGTTCTAAGAGACACCGGTAGCTCCACGGTTATCGTGCGGAGAAATTTGGTACGAGAAAGTGAGTTGACAGGCAGAACGAAACCGGTTTGCCTAATTGACCGTACGGTTCGGATGCTTCCAGAAGCAGAGATTGAGGTTGAAACCCCGTACTTCAGCGGGAAGGTTACTGCTTTATGCATGACGACCCCCCTTTACGACCTTGTCATCGGAAACATCGCCGGGGCGCGAGGACCGAATGATCCGGAATGTTTGGGAAAAGACCCTAAGGTAGAGCCCTCGCCAACCCAAAGACCGCGAGATACAGTGGAGGAGCATCCCGTGACGGATCTCACTAGAGCCCAAGGTGAAGCCGCGGCGCAAGAGACAGTGAATGAGAAAATGATCGTGTCGAATGAGTTCACGAGCCGGGCAACTGGACGTACGTCGGCACGACCCCAACCGACAGACAGTGTAAAGGTGACGGAGTCGGCCAGCCAGGTCCAATGTCGTGACATGAACAAGCGGGTGACAAGATCGGTTGAGCGTTATCACCCGTTAACAGTGTCAGAAGTGATAACGATGGCTGAGACGCCGCCTCAGACCCAGTCGTTGGAAAAGGCTCGCCGAAAAAGAACAAGGAAAAACAAGAAGAGATCAAGCGAGCACCGCAAGAAAGGACGCAAGCGCAGCTCGAAATACACAGGATAGGTGCTGAGGTGGAATCGGAATGTGTTTGGCAGGGCTGAGTGACATATGTTGTGTTAATGTTCTTGTTATCCTGTGTCTCAAGTGTATGTCGAGCGAATCAAGGTGTTCTGTGCGATGATGTGATGTATAGTGTTGTATAATTGTTGTAAAGACAGAACTTTGTACGTTTGTATTGTTTGGAATGTGTGATGAAGTGTTCTAGTCATGTACTAGTGGCTATATTTCATGTGTTGTGGAATTGAACTACAATGTACGATTGTATTGAGCGATCTATTGTGAATGTGAAGTGTCATGAGCGACGGACTATGTTACAGTATTTGAGAGTGTGGGGACTGTTCGCGCTCGTCTGTGTGGTTTTGAATATTATGAGATAATATTCTTAAAGTGGGGGGCAGTGTCACAGAACGAGCGCTCAAAAAGGGCGGTCCGCCAAATTCTCGCAACGAACCGCCGGAGTGACGCCGCGAGGTCAACGAAAAAGAAAGAAAAAGAAAACAAACATCTAAAGGCTCCCCGGGCGCGCGAGCCTCTCCTCTCGGAAGCGTGGCTTCGCCGACGAACCTCCTCACCCCACAACGGCGGCCGAGCAAGCACTGGATTTTTCTAGAAGGAAAGCGGCGTGGTCATACCGAGTTGAGTCATCCGCCGCGGAGGGCATCCCAACCGTCTCGCCCTCTCCCCAGCCTTCGCTGCGTATCGCGCCGACGAAATGACGAGAACTTTCTGGAATCTCGCGCCGAAGGTATTTAATCGAGCGGCCGAGACGAGAAAGCAGGAGAAGACGGAAGTTAGCGCCAAAGCGCGTAGGGTATCCCGCCGTGTAGTCGGCGAAGGTTTTGTCCATAGGGACAAAGCAGGAGAAGACGTGAGGTTTCCTGGAAGAGAAACTTCGAAGGAGAAGACGGAAGCCTCCCTAATTAACGGGACCTGTGTGACACCATAGCAGACAAGCACGACACTGATGTGGCACATCAGTTCTGTTACTTCCGCCAGGCAAAAATCAACGTCGCACACACAATCTTGCCATTAATTCTGGCAAGCGAGGCGAGCATTCGGAGGCAAGCTATAAAATTCATTTGAAAAGAATCTGTGAAACTCTCAAAACTGCAATTTTTCCTGCATGGTGCAAACATGGAAATGAATGTACCCAGTGAATTTCTTTAATATCCATTAACCTAAAAGAATTACCGGAGTTGGCCTTTAACAACCCGTGAACACAGAACGAGAGCGAAAATGTTACTAAGTATTGCGATTTTAGATTGCCGCCACCTCGCAACGCACAAGAAGCAGACGACGCAATCCCGGAGGCATACCCGGAATGAGCATCAGACTAGCGAGGTGTACTGGAGCAATACGACAGAAGCTGATGGCGAGACGAACCTCGAAGTTTGCGGGCAAGAACAATATGCTAGCGCACTCGTAACAATGTGCTTCTTCGCAAGCAACAAGGCACTTCGCTCGCTGGCTCCTCAGAACCATGGATGGGCATTGCACAAACAAAAGTTGGAGAGTATTCCAATGAGATAGCAACATAAAAGTGTTTCTTTTAACTGGATTAATGAAGTACCGCAGTGTGGAGTTTTATAGTTGTCTTATCAAAAATGAGGCTTAGCAGAGGCTGAATCGTATTAATTGAACCTTGACCTCTGCCACATCTATTATCTCCACGTTGAAACTAGCGTTTTGTCGAGTCAATACATTTGAAATTAAAGCAGAGCCTGAAAGGCAGCTTTGCTGCATTCTTAGGTCTGATGGAGTAAAGCATATTGAAAATCTGAAGGGACCACTGCCAATCCATCGCGGACTTTATTTGTGTTGGGGAAGTTCGAACAGTTTGAATAGTAAGATTCAATTGCAAATTGAATAGAACAGCTAGCACCATTAAAAACGGCTAGCGCCATTAAAAACTATTAGAAATTTCGAATATTCGTACACCCTTAGTCCACACAAACTTAATCGAGTAATGGTAATAATTGTTGTGGTTTAATGTCCCGAAACCACAATATGATAATGCGAGACACCTTAGTGGAAGGCGCTGGAAATTTGACCCGTAGGAGTTTTTTAACATGCATCAGAACTATGTGGGTTCTTGATCGAATAGTTTACAAGACTTTCGTGCCACAAACAAAGAAAAAAGAGAGAGAGAGAGAGAACTTGCCATCCTGTGCAGAGCAGCGCGAGATGAGCTCCCAGAGGACCAATCCGCAGGCGTACATGTCGATGCGCAGGAATTGATCCTGGTTGAAGCTGATGGCTCCCTCCAGCACCTCGGGGGCCATGTAACGCCGGGTGCCCACCTGCGCATGAAGAGCCTCTAAGGCCTTCTTTCCCCCGAGCATTCCTTCATGAGGGCAGTTACCGACAACAACACTCCAGTGAGAACTTCAGTAATGCATGCCAGGCAAGTCATGCAGCGAATCTAACACCATTTACAATGACCAACAGCCATTACTGACGTTATGCGTTTCCTGCTACATGAGAAAGTATTGCATGAAAACTTTATTTTCAATCAAATGTGCTGGCTCACTGTCATGATTCGTGCTTGATCTGGGATCCTGTGCGCAATTGCTGGGCCAGAGTGGTCATTACTAACCGTTATTATCTTCTAGTCAGCATAATTAAGTACAGTTTGTTCGACCACAACATGAACGCTTTGCTGCGATGTCATCAACATCTTTTCAAAGTTTACACTGGGTGGCCAGGACAAATCATGTAGTGCAGCCAAGCATATCTTCTTTCCACCATGCCATCAATTCCAGCTTAGCTCTCTCCAGTGTGCTTGTCGGGGTGAGAGAAGAGAGATAGAGCTTTAAAGCATGCAACATAGCTCTGTAACTCCACTCACCCTTGACAAGATTATAGAAATTGTTGAGGCAATAAACTTCGATATCGAACCCATTCAAAGAATACTTGGAAATGTGGATAAGGACCCGCTTCAGCACCATTACGCGACCATCGAGCCCACAAGGATAAACAGGGGAGCCGTAATCACCTGTCCGTGTGCCTGCCTCGGGGACACCCCGCAAGGAAAGGCCAGGGCCAGGCCGAAATCGGCGATGCAGGCAGTCATGTCGGCCTTGAGCAGCACATTCTTGCTCTTGAAGTCACGGTGTGCCAGCGGGGGCTTGTAGCCCTCCAGCTTGTTGGCTGGACGTTCCCCGTGCATGTGGGACAGTCCCAGGGCAATGCCCTCGCTAATCTTCAGCACCTCGCCCCAGCTCACCAAGTGAGCCTGCAGGACAACATGCGGTTTCACGACACACCCAGCACAAGTAAAGCTGCTACCAGGGCTAGTTGGTGCAACTTCACAGACAGCTGAACACACCATGCCACATTAACAGCAAACACCATTGTCTTAGAGTGTCATCTTTTCCAGTACCATATTTAATCGCGTAATGAACCCACTCTTTTTTTTTTTTTTTTCAGAAAAGTTGATGCCGATTTTGGGGGAGGGTTCATTATTCGGGAGAAAAAAAGTCACGGGAATTATAACAGCGAAAATTTTGGGTGACGACCTTGCTTGTTTTGACCACTGAAATGCGTGACAAATTTTTTTTGTAGCCCGAAGCTCTTTTTGTATCACCCCGTAATAAAAGTGCATGGATCGATGCCGAAGTGTCGTCCAGCCGCTCGGTTCCAATGCTTCAACGCATGCTGTTAGTAACCAGCCGTGTAGCTAGCGTACCGCCCGAACGGGCCGTGCACAGCAAGTGTCCCAACTAAGTTCACAACGACAAACCCAACAACGAAAACGCAGCGTCGGATGGCGGCGCACAAATGTTGGATTAACCGTTGCTGGTGCACAATGCGCCGTCGGCGCGGTGGGTGCGGTTGCGTTTTGCATAGGTCCGAGATGGCGAGCGCGCGGCGTGTTCCATGACGCAGCACGAGCACCATATTGGACACCACGTGCTTTGTTTTTGTGTCGCTGTGTTTGCATAGTGCTATCAGCAGAGGTTTCTCCTGCATTAGACTCGACAGGTAGCGCTTTGCCGTACAAGGTGTGACTTTTTAATTGACATCGTACGTGCTCGCGCTGCTTGCAACTGTTTAGCATCATTGCATAACTATCTTTGGCTTTCATTGCATTGTTATTTTGTCATATAATGGCTCGACTTAAGGTTGTTTCGATCATTAATGGCACTGGCTATTACCGAAACAAAATGAACAGATACACTTAAAAAGCTTTTTTTTTTACTTTTTTTTTTCAAGAATCAAGGTGGTGGGTGGGTTTATTATGCGAGTGGGTTCATTACGCGAGTAAATACGGTATTTTGTTCAAGACACGGCAGCTACGAAGCCTTTCTACTCTCACAGTGCATTGGGAAGGCTTCATAGCTTCCCTGCACTAACACCATTGTGGGTTTGCAGGTTTGCATGTTTTGTTGTAAAAAGGATGTAACAAGCTTTAAATCGTAGAGGCATTTAGAGAGCACCACATAAAATTACACAGAGGCAAAATTTTTTTATGTCTATATTTTGCTATTGCAGCTCATACTGCACATCTATTTTAACGAAAGGTGAAAACGCTAAGAAAACTTAGACAGAAAACGAGAACACACACAGCAAATGTGTGTGGTTGTTTTTGTGTACGTGCACCTTTTTTTTTCCTTTGCACAATACCTTGTAGAGTTACTCTTCTTCCAAATGCACAGGTGTGTTCTTTCCGTTTTTCCTCACCAATGACACAATTTACAGGCATCAACCTAGTGCCAATGGCAGCGAGCAGCTCACCTTGAGGTGATCCGAGAGTGATCCCCTCTCGTGGTACTCTGTGACCAGCCAGTACTCGGTGTGGTTCAGGTCACCGTGCTTGGTGGAGCCGAGGAACGCCAGCAGGTTTTCGTGCTTCATCTGGGGCATCTTGAAAATGTCCTTCTCCACCATCCATGAGGTCTTGTCCTGAATCGTTCAGAAATGCATACCATTACCTTCACTCCCCTCGCCAATCATTTCTGTGGAAATGTTGCCCTGTTATGCTAAATACAATTCAGCCTCAATATGAGGAAGTACAGAAAAGGCTCACTAACTCGAACTTAAAGGGGACTGCACAACCATTCAAATTTAAGCAGAGGTCGAATTAGAAGGCGGGCACTAGAATTAACGAATATAGCACCACAATGTGTGGGCCATAGAGTTTCTTAAATATACACTAGAGGGAACTCTGGCGCTGGTGTCTATGAGACCTGCAACGCACAGTGCTTCAGCGAGCATGGGAATGATGGGTTGTACACACATTTGTCTAATCTTCGTAATTCTGGCTCCGTGTGTGTTTGTGTGGCTTGGAGCTGTTTTCTCACGAAACAAAAATCAGCAAATGGTCAGCAGTAGCACTTCACCACCTTAATATTTTAGGCTTACCATTTCAAATCTGGTCATGAAGTTCAAAAGGGGTCATTCTTTTCTTCGAAGCACAGCCGAAACACAGCAATAACCGAAGCCACAAGTGCGCTTTGCCGCCCGCAAGTACGAAAACTAGGCAAATCCCTAAATTTTCCAGCCGAAATTCGTTATTCCAAGGCCACGTCCCCTCTTAATGAAACACTAAAGTCAAATAACAATTTATGCCAGAATGAAAGCTCAGTGTATGACGTCTAAAACGACAATATTATCAACAGCAATGCCCTACTTACTGAGAAATTAATGTAAATGCACACGAACACGTGTGCCACAAGTAGGACATCGCAAAGTGATCCCAATGACGTCAGAGTTACCGCATACTATTAATCACTAGTGATCACACTAGCTGCACTAAATAAAGAACCTTATGTGCATCAAGAGATGCAATAAAATGCTGCTTGTTTGTTTCTCTTTAATTCATGAAAAAAAGAACCGCCGGACGTTACTATGGGGAATGGCGTGAGTGGTTCAAAAGTTCAATTTTCGCCTCGTTTAAGTGGACATGTTATGCCATGAGTGGGGCCTAGATGGACCGAGCACGCCTGCCATCTATGAGGCCATGGCAGTGAATTGTCAATGGCCGTTGCTGCTGTTGTGGCTCCCACTACTTTTGCTCTACTGCTACTAGTGTGGGCAGCTGTGCAGTAAAGCAAGGCAACATTGTGCACAGCAACAGTGATGTGAAAGTTTCTACTTGAAGCGGGCAATTCGAAGTGCGCTAACGCGATGCGGAGCACTAAAACGTGCTGTTATTTCAAAATAAGCACTTCGTTGGCACAAAAGTAGCACTATGAGGTTTCTGGACCGCTACTTCAGTAATGAACAATAACTTACAGTAAAACCGAAATGCAGGTAAAAATTTTTCAAAAAATGCAATAAAAAGTTGACCATCGGCTTATATACCAGTCATTGGCAGAAAAAAATGTGGAAGTCTTGCAACAATGGGCAGCTGAAGTCAAAAGCCTCCATTGTCATCATGAGCATCAGCAGCGGCGCCGTTGGGCAAGGCTAGGCAAGGCCTACAGTGTACTAGCAATCCCATTTTGCTTCGTTATCTTTGTCAGTCTGCTGTTTTATTTTTTTCTATTTCCTTCAGAAATAAGTGGTAGTCGATGGCAGCTTACGATAGGCTTTAAGAAAAAGGAGTTATCGAGTATGCAGAAGCGCACGGCAACCTGGTGGCACAACAAGAATTCGGTGCATCGGAGAAAAAGCGTCCGATACTGGAAGAGCCAAAAGCAGCACATCCCATCCTGCAAAAACAACAAAAAACTGTTTCGTGGACCAACTGCAGTGCACCCTGAACTGGAAATCAGACTGCCGAATTCACCCAGGAGCTGCATGCAAGGTCACTACCCGGGACAGCAGATTGAATCCGCGTGAAAGCTATCGAGATAGCGTGCGACTATCGGCTCACGAGGGCGCAATTGAAGGGCTCGCCATCGTGGGTGTGCCAATTTATTAAGCAGAAGGGTTTTGTGCTAAGGCGGCGTACTTCCGTGTGCCAAAAACTGCCCGAAGATTTTAATTAAAAGCTGGTCGAGTATCAGCGCTTCGTCATACGGCTTCGTCGACAGCAATGTTACATGATGGAGCACATTGGCAATGCTGACGAAACTCCAATCTGGTTTGAAATGCCTTCAAACTGGCCTGTGACCACTAAAAGATCCAAGCAAGTGAAGCTCCTGACAATGGGCAACGAGAATTCGCGATTTACAGTGATGCTCGCGTGCACAGCCAATAGAAAAAAGCTACGACCTTATATCATTTTGAAGAGAAAAAAGAAGACTTTCTCCGGGATGTTATCGTGAGAGTGAACGAAAAAAGGTTCATGAATGAGTCCCTCATGGTAGAGCGGATTCGGCTCATGTGGAATCGGGATGCCCCGCCGTGGTGGTCTAGTGGCTAAGGTACTCGGCTGCTGACCCGCAGGGCGCGGGTTCGAATCCCGGCTGCGGCGGCTGCATTTCCGATGGAGGCGGAAATGTTGTAGGCCCGTGTGCTCAGATTTGGGTGCACGTTAAAGAACCCCAGGTGGTCTAAATTTCCGGAGCCCTCCACTACGGCGTCTCTCATAATCATATAGTGGTTTTGGGACGTTAAACCCCACATATCAATCATGTGGAATCGGCAACCCAGAGCACTTTTTCTGCAACCGAGCATGCTGGTGCTCGACTCATTTCGATGCCACCTCACGCCGATGTAAAGGAAGCTCTGTCCGATGGCAAGACGAATCTTGTCGTGATCACTGGGGGACTAACATCAATCCTCCAGCCACTTGACATAGTGCTCAATAAACCCTTCGAAGATCGCGTGCGCGAGCTCTAAAATGAGTGGATGCTGGCTGACAATCTCAAGACCCCCGCTGGCCGCCTACGACGTCCACTGCTCGCGACCGTTTGTGGCTGGGTGTCGTCAGCTTGAAAAATCCTTTTCAGAAGAGATGGTGCGCAAGTCTACCCGCAAATGCTGCATCCGCAACGCATTGCATGGAACGGAGTACCATGCACTCTTGTACGTTACTAGTGAGAAACAAAAGTTGTTGGACTCAAGTTTGGACCAGTCTGAGTGACAGCACTTTGTTGCCTTCTGGCGTTTAACTACTTAAGATTAGTGTCTAAGTAAAAAGAAACGGCACCACAGTGCAGTTGGTTGTGTCACGTGTTTATCAAAGTAGGGGTGTGCCGAGATATTTAGCGATTTTCAAAAATTCTCTTACGAAAATTCAAGATTGGGAGAGTTGATCTATATTCCGGTTCTTACAGTAAATTTTGGCTTTAGTGTCTCTTAAGGGGGGACACGGGTCTTAAAAGGCCGAAAATCGCGAAAAACCGACGTTTTGAAGTTGACATTTTCAGAATCTGCCACTATTTTTGCACTTATCTGAAAAGTTTCAAGCTTCTCACATCATTATTTCTGGCACAAAATCAATTTATAACACCCCTTTCAGATGAATCTGAGCACAAATAGACGCTAAAGTCGCACTTTTTCTACGCCGAACCGTTGCCGTTACACACGAGCGATCGTGGTCATCTTCGTCTCGTTTGGAAGAATCGTTCTGCATCTTCAATCTCCCGCCACCAGTGGCTCGCCTTGCTCATTGGTTTTTCAGCAAAAACGCGTCATCAAGAAGCACCACCACGCGATTCTATTGGCTGCTTGGGGCACGTGACAAAACCTAGGCACCCGATTGGCCATGTGGCGCTTCCGGCGTCTGCTTTTTCATCGTGACGCGCACGGGCTTGTGCCATTGTGTCATGGTGCTGTCAATTGCCTGTTGCAGTAAAGAAGTTCCTCGCCGCACTAATTTGTGAAGCGAGTGTGGCAATAGTTCATTCGCTGTGAATTCAGAAAGAGCCCCGCAATCACTCAGGACAGAGAGGACAGCAAACTCGCGGCGTTCAACGGTGGTCGCCGAGTCACCGGTGTAGGCCTAACTCACGTACGAGCACGTCGGTTGTCGACAACATCACTGAAAGCGGCAGTGTTTTGGAGCTTCAACAGTTACATGACGGCAAGTGAAAAAGCAGAAGTGAAGCTACGAGAGATAGCAATCTTTGCCACGATGGAACGAAGCGCAGTCTTATCGCTAAACGCGCTGATGCCGCGGGTTTCCCCGTCTGGCGTGAACTGCGTGACGGGTCGCCAGAGATGGAGATCGCCGCGCGTCGGCAAACAGCAGAAAATCAATTCGTTTACGGTGAACATGCTCGCCGCCCGTGCAATGAAGGATACTGGCAACAGGTAGAGTGCTTGTAACGACGCGGCTGCAACGATGAACATATTGCGCCGCGGCTTCCACTCTAAAATGCGGCAATCTTACGTGAAAAGGAAACTAACACCTCGCTGCTTTTATAGCCTTGAAATCGATGAGCGAGTGCTCGAGTTCGGTCTGCGACATCAACAACTTGATCTGGACAAGCCGGAAAACCGCTTTATTATAGGACGGATCGCGGATTACGCGCGCACATTCCTTGCACATAGGCATCGCCGAGCTGGTAAGCGGCCTAGTCGGTAAATGAGCCCAAGGCGACCGCATCAGCTCGCAAAAGTGCCTCTGCAGAAAACATGCAGCAGGCATTGAAAAAATTTAGGTGACGCAAAACAGAAGGACTACATGCCTGGTGCCTACTGAGAAAGCTGAACTTGCAAAACATTATAAATAAACGACTTTTCCATGCTACTGTCTGCCCGAAATGGACTTGTGTTTTTGCAAAATTTCTCAGGATTCAAATTTTGCTGCAGTTGCAAACTTGTCTAAGATATTTCTGCCTCCAGAGCAGCTAGGACTGTCATTTTTGTTGTGACATGTAGCTGTATCTTTAGTTTACAAAATAGTAGGTGCAAATTTTCTATTGAGATCTTCAAAAAATTTTATTTTTGCCAGAAATTTGAGCATAAAGTGGGTGTGCCTGCAACACTGAAATACAAAATGGGACAAACCTTGCTAAAATTATCAAATAAAAAAAAAAGCACTCCTACTGTTGTGTAGCTTATGTTCATTAGTACACAAGCATGTGCCAATAGTGGCTTTGCAATACAAATTTATTGTGTCATTACACCAGCAAACAATAGGTAATTAATTTTAGGATATCTCAAAAGCTAATTGGTTTAGAAGAACAGTAATTACATTTTCGAAATCAGCATCAAAAACTTAAGTATACTGTAGATTTTCTTTATAAACACTTGAAAATATCTGGCATTTCATCTCAAGTACAATGTCCCCCCCTAATATAGGTGCTTTCACAGTTAAGTCCTCCTTCCCTGCAGTGAAACCACCTTTTACAGGAGTTACATGCAGAATAATATACACCTATTCGTTAATTTCGAGTTCTTCCTACCTTTTACAGGAGTTACATGCAGAATAATATACACCTATTCGTTAATTTCGAGTTCTTCAAAATTTCTCAAACTGCAGCGACTTGCTTGGGAGGTACAGGTCTCTCTCTCTCTCTCTTTTTTTTTTTTTTTCCCCGCGAGCTAGTGCTATGCTTGATCGTCCTACTGAATTATAGCTTCGAGCCGAAGACCCCTTCGGCGCTCGTTCACAGCAGCATTATAGAGAACTGCCGTGCTTTATGCCAAAAAAGAAACAGCCCAAAGTTTAAAGCTTCTGAACAGGTTGTAAGACAGTGGCGGCTTCAATGTAAAAAGAATTTTGTCGTGAAACTCCAGGCACCGAGGTTCTCGCACGTTAGTTGAGAAGCTTTCTGGAGCTCACGACAGATGTGAGTATGCCATCGGTTCCTACCTGTTTCCAACATGAAGCTCACAATTGATTTGATTGATCTGTGGGGTTTAACATCCCAAAACCACCATATGATTATGAGAGACGCCGTAGTGGAGGACTCCGGAAATTTTGACCACCTGGGGTTCTTTAACGTGCACTCAAATCTGAGCACACGGGCCTACAACATTTCCGCCTCCATCGAAAATGCAGCCGCCGCAGCCGGGATTCGAACCCGTGTCCTGCGGGTCAGCAGCCAAGTACCTTAGCCACTAGACCACTGCGGCGGGGCATGAAGCTCACGAGTTCACTTTGGAAGTGAACACATGGGAAAGAGAGTAGGGCCTGTGCATTGAAGGGCATGAAAACAGCTATAACTTTAGTATCAACGTGCAGTCAGTTTAGTGAACTGCAGGACTAATAATTATTTTTCAAACAACGAGTACTGTAGTGCGATAATTTTTCTAGAAGACAAAAAGATTTTTTATCGGATTGTAAAATTTCAAAATTAAATTTTTCAACTAGACGAAGCTTTTTTCCAACTTAGGCAAGATTTCAAAATAAAGAAATTTACGTTATTATGGCTGTTTTGCTGTAATCTGTCTCCCAAATTAATTCTGAATTCTCGCGTGCCGAAAAATGGGACACATCAATGTTTTGCAACAGCGTAGCAAGGGGCTCTGCTATGCCTCGCAACGTGTAGGTCAGAGGCTCAACGTACCTGAGGTGGAAAGATCTTGACCGCAACGAACTGCAGCCCCCAACGGGCCTTCCAGACTGCCCCGAAGCGACCCTGTGCCTTGACCTCTACCAGCTGAATGGCCTTGGGTGCGAGGGCGGGCGAGGGCAATGGGGTGGGGTCTGCCGTGGGCACTTCGGCAAAGTGGCCCTGCCGCTGCTTGCGCTTCTGATGCAAGTACAGGGCCAACACCACCACGGCCACCACAGTAAACAGGGGCACCAAGATGTAGGCCACCACCGTCTCGGTTCGGTAGCCACCGTGGGGTGCCAGTTGCACAGGTGGCGAATGTCTCGTGGTCACTGCAAATGCCAAAGAAAAACGAGCTGGTCACGCAACCGCTACTGTTCAGGCCGTCGAGTGCACGCTCCTCCTCCACTCGCCACTGCCGCATGGTGGCGCTGCACGAGTAGACTACAAGATTAGAAATTAAGCAACGTGGAATAGATAGGCTTGCTTTAGGAGCTCACGGGAATACACCAAATCGGGGAGTACAAGGTGATATGGGATGGACATCATTTGAGGCAGGGAAGCTAGCAGCAAGATAAAATTTGAGAAGCAATTGAGAGAAATGGGGGAGGAGCGTTGGGCTAGGAAGGTTTTCAGCTACTTGTACATGAAGAATGTCGATACAAAATGAAGAAAGCGAACCAGGAAATTGGCTGGTGAATACTTAGAAAACAGCAGGTGGCCAAACCAAAAAGAACTATCGGTTAAGAAGAAAGTGAAGGAAACGGAGACTGACATGTGGAGAATGGACATGATTAAGAAGTCCGCACTAGAGATCTATCGAACTTTTAAGCAGGAAATTGCCAAGGAAAGGATCTATGATGATACTCGGGGTAGTTCTCTACTGTTTGAGGCCAGGACGGGAGTACTGCGAACCAAGACATATCGGGCCAAATACGAGGGGGTAGACACAGTATGCAGTGCGTGTGGAGAGGAAGAAGAAACTGCCGAACACTTGATAATGTTCTGTAAAAGGGCTTCACCCAATAGTTCAGGATGATGGCGCAGAGTTTTTCAAAGCAATGCGGTTTAGGGACCAGGAGGGCAAAATAGACTTTAAGCAGGTAGACTTAACTAGAAGGAGGTTATCTGATTGGTGGCTAAAGTCAAGGCACGAGTGAAAATTAAACCCTTCACTGCAAAGTACGAATCCTCAAACTCACTTTTTAAAGACAAAAAATAAATCTAGTTTTTGGTTCATTAAGTATTACGGCTTGGTGGCGCTAGCCACCGCTCGTTCTAAAGGGTACAGCCTTATCCATCCATCCAACGGGATGCTGGCGGTGAACGGCGGCACCATATTAGGAAGCTCGCAAATTCATGTTTTCATGCAAGTTAATTTGCAGTCATGCTTCTTGACGGCTTCATGGATGAAGGGATGATGAAAAGTAACACGGACATAGCAGCGCACTGCTTTCACTGGGCTCTGTCGGGCCGTGCTACCAGTTCGATATATGCGTTCGAGTTTTTAGCATTCGCGTTTTATTTTCTTTTTCAAGCTATTGAAACCCCATTATTTGCATGCCTCAGTATATAATACTGTATATCTGACGAAAAAAAATGAACAGATTGTCTTTTTTTTTTCATTTCTCATTAGTTACAAAAAAAAAAAACCTCACTGGTCCTCTTATGGATTCACCTGGGACTACCATTCATGATTTCAGAATGCTTGCCGAATATGATCCACTCCATTCTTATTCTTCCAGTTATATCACTTTCCTGGTTCGGCTCTGGGGTTACTACCTGTCATAAGTAGAGATATTCCATCACAACTTCCAGCGTCTCTCCACCTATCGCAAAGTGCTGTTTTCTGCCGGGGCTGTTGCACACAGCTTTAGTTTTGTGCATATTAACTTTCATACTTTCTGCTTTCTGTGCACAGTTCAGTAATCATGAGGTGTAATTCATCCCCTGAGTTACATCAAGGCAATGTCATCAACGAATCACAGGTTACTAAGATACTCTCCATCAACTCTTATCCCCCTACCTCTCCCCAATCTAGGGTCCTAAAAACCTCCTATCAATATGCGGTGAATAGCATTGGAGAGCTCGTGTCTCCCTGCCTTACACCCTTCTTTATTGGGATTCTGTTGCTTTACGGAGAACTATGGTGGCTGTGGATCTACTATATATTTCTTCCAGTATGTTTACAGGGTGTCTACCAATTTGATATTTCTTAATTCCCCGACTTTTCCATGATGATTAAAAGCAAATTCCATGACTGCCACGTCTACTTGAAAACTGTGCACTGAAAACAAAGCCACGAGTGATGAAAAAAATCAGGCGCTCCATATGAAATAAGTAAACATTTTTACCAGACGCACTAAGAATGTTCCGAGTGCGTCCGGTAAACTTGAAAAAATATGTATATCTGGTTAAAATATAACCCCTGAGCTAGGCAGTGAGCAAGTTAGCTGTGTGATATTTTTAAGTACCAGGAGGCAAACACACAAGTTAAAGGTAACTGTACATGAAAGTTTGAAGGAGCCTGCGATAGTCCGACATCGCAGTGAAAGATGGCGGGAAACATAAAAGTGGTGCCATATTTTGGTATCCGTGAGATGGCATCCAGCTGCTTCCAGAGGACATGGGAGCCTGGCCGGTTCTGCCACTGGAGTATAATCTAGTTTACTATAATGGTTATAGACCATGCCACATAGAATGTGGATTGGATTAGATGTGATTCAACTTGGATTGCTGTATTTAATATCGATGTAGGACCCCACCTAATATCCGCACCTCTAAATAAACTTTTCAGAAAAAGAAAAGAATAACTACTATCCGTGTATTCTGTGTACCTTGCCCTGACAACGAGTAACAATGTTGCAAGAATGGAGCCATACTGCAAAATTTTCTTTTTTTCTCTAACGAGCACACGCACGTTTGCATTTTATGTCTCTGGGCTCTGATACTCTAATGTTGCCTTAATTCTATTACCTATTATTTTTGTCAATATTTTGTAGAGAACGGTAAGCTGATCGGCCTGTAATTTTTTAGGTCCTTGACGTCTCCTTTCGTATGAATTGAAATAATGTCGGAGTTCTTCCAAGATTCTTCCAAGAGTTCTTCCCTTCCCATCAAAAGACACTTCGTATGTAAGATGGAGAGTTTTTCTAACACAATTTCTCTGCCAACTTTCAGAAGGTTCGTTGTTACTTTATCCTCACCAGCAGTATCACCTCTTTGCATTCTTTCTAGGGCTTTCCTTACTCCCCTGTCATTACTGGTAGGATGTCAAATTCCTCTGGACTATTATTGTTTATCACGATATCAACCTGGTTGTTTTGGCTTCTGTACAGCTCTCTGTAGAACTCCTCCGCCACCTGGACTATCCTATTCATTATGGTTATGACATTGCCTTCCTTGTCCCTTAATGCATACATCCGATTTTTGCCTATGCACAGCCTGCGCGATTCTCATGTTGTACCTTCCGATGTCAGCTACCTTACACCCACTGATTAAGTTCGAAAGCTCCACCAGCTCTATTTTGTCAATTGCACTTGAGGCTTTCATGGTTCGTAGTCTCTTAATGAGATTTTTATCTCCCGAGGTAGTTTGCCAGCGTCTTCTCAAGCAACAGTACCTTCGACTTTCACAGCACTCTTTGATGATACTAGTAAGATTATTGTTCATTGCGTCAACACTAACGTCGGTTACCTCATTCAGAGCCTCGAATATATTCCGAAGTGAAACCATGAATTCCTGCACTTTCCCCCTCACAGCTAGCTCATTAATTGGCTTCTTGCACATCAGTTTATGCTTTTGTTTTTTAAATTCGACCTCGTCCCATTCTATGGTCACTGCATCAGATCTTGCCAACTACTTCTACATCCTGTACAATGCCTGAGTGTGCACACAGAATGAAGTCAATTTCATTTTTATTTTCGTCATTAAGACTTCGCCACGTCCACTTCCAGTTAGCCTGTTTTCCGAAAAAGGTATTCAAGATCCCTAAATTGTTACATTCTGCGAATTCCACTCATAACTCCTCTCTGGCATCTCTAGAGCCGATGCCATAATCCCTCACTGCATGGTCTCCAGCCAGTTTCTTGCATACTTTGGCATTGTAGTGGCCCATCAGAATAGAATACCAGGGTTCATAGCCCCTGAGTGAACCAAAATTCAAGGGTTTTCAAGGACTTCCAGGACCTAACAAATACTTTTCAAAGACCTAAAGTAACACTTGACACTGCAGAGAATGACAACACTTTTTACAGCATGTATTTTCTTTGTATGGTTGGCACCATGATTGCACTCAAGTCACTGACTGTGTTCTCGATGTGTTTCGCACTGTTCACGTGACATTTAGGAGACACCCCCGATTCAATAACATGTCGAAGCTCTTCCTACATGGGAAGACCTTGCCTGATGCGAATTTGACGTACCCGGTGTAATCCACTCCCTATAAGCAGCAATGCATAACCGAGGTGCCTGGAATTTGCACTTGCCTGGCATAGTTCCACCATAAGCGACATCACTGCGAATATCCATGCACAGTCTCCACAAAAAAGCTAGGATTAGTTTCGTTGCTGCTGTAACACAGGTGCTTCTACAGCCATAGTGCCTAGAATATATTCTAGGCACTATACTACAACACTGCAATATGGCTAGAGAAACAAATTGAATTGAATGGTTTGTTGGCTTGAGAGCAAATAGTTGCCAGGCACGCAAAAAATTCCACCAATTTATGACTAAAGAAACTTTGACAAAATTCAAGGACTTTTAAGAACCTCAGCCAAATTTAAGGGTTTTCAAGGCCTTGAAAATGACATTTCCAAATTCAAGGCCTTTCAAGGATTTTAAGAACCACTACAAGCCCTGGTATACTGTGTCTTTACTTTATTAATGGTCAAGTATACAGTCGAACCCCGCTACAACAAATGTCCCTTCAATGAAATTCCCGCTACAACAAAAAAATTCACGGTTCCCCATAAACAAATGCCGCTTCAATGAAATTCCTGCTACAACTAAAAATTCACGGTTCCCCATAAGCAGTCCATAGGAGTCAATGCATAAATATTGTCGCCACAACGAACAATTTTTCTTCTGCCGTACCGCTTCAACGAAATTTCACGATGAGATTCCAGGCTAAGATATTTATTGCTATACAGTAAGCCTAATCTTTAACATTTTGATGCATTTTCAGAACCTGAGAATACGTCGACGAAGTCTAAAACGCGCGTTGGCACCACCAAAAACCACCACTGTTCAACAAACATGGGCGCCGCCATTGCGCGATAGTGATGGCAATGAGACTGCTCCGATTTTGTCACTGGCAAAGGCAGAGCAGTCT